TCAACTGTCTTTTCTATCAAATTCCTTTCCCAGTCCACACCAGCCAGCTCTGCCCCCATTCCTTTCTAACTACCCCCTTAAGTTTAGTACAGTTATTTCCGACCAAATTCCTTCCTCTCAAACAGCATGCTAATTTCTACCATGTTATGATCAGTGTTTTATTTGTTTTATTGATTGTTTTATTCTGACATTGTTTACTAAACCTGCTTCATTACTGATCCAAAGCAGCCTGATTCCTGCATGGATCCACAACAATGTACTTGGAAACTGTCCCACATATACCTCAATTTTTCTTCATGGCTACCTCTACCATTGGATTTTCCCAATCTACATGATGATTAAATTCGTCATGACTAATATATTGCATTTTTACATGCCCTTTATCATTTCTTGATTTATTCTCTGTTTAAATATTGTTGGGGAACCTACTAACTACTTCCACCATTATTGGCTTCCCTTATCTCCATCTATATCGATTCTAAATTTTCTGACTGAAAATCATTTCTTGCTATTGAACATATTCCATCTAATACTAACAAAGCTATCCCACCACCTTTTCTTTGCTGCATGTGCTTTCAAAAACTGAAATACCCCTAAATATTCAGTTTTTAATTCTGACCTCCTTGTAACCACATTTCTATAACAGTTATAAACATCATGCCCATTAATACCATCAATTGTTGTGTTCCAAATAGCACATGCACTTAAGGAAACAGACATCAATGATCTTTTAGCCACCTTCTCCCTTTAAACCCTATGTACTGATTTTCTATAATGGTACACCGTTCTTGTCCCACCCTGGGTATTGTTATCCTAATAGCTGTCCTTCAACGCTGCTACAATCTTTTGCTTTGAAAAGCCATGTTTCCCCTCTCCTAAATTCCCTTTCACCATTAAAGCCCTCACTGCAGCACTAGCTATTTCTGCCAGGACACTGATACCAGCACAGTTCAAGTGAAGCCTGTGCCAATGCATCAGCTCCTTACGACATGACTGCTGGTGCCTGTGCCCCATAAATGGAGACTAATTCTACCCATACCAGTCTTTGAGCCACATATTCAACTTCTTGACTTTATTTACCATTTGCCAGTTTACTATGGCTCAGGTTGTAATCCTGAGATTACATTGGAGGTTTTGATTTTCAATTTAGTTAACTGTTCAAATTCTATAGCAGAACTTTTCCATTCTTATCAAGGTCATTGGTACCAACGTAGTCAATGACAACTAGATCCCTTTCCTCCAACTCCAAGTTCCTCGCCAACCCAAAGATGCCCTATTCCTGGCACTGGCCAGGTAGAGCTTTGAGGACTCCCACTCATTGCTATAGAGAACTGCATCTACCCCTCTAACAGTATGGGCTCTTGTCAATACTATGTTCTATTTTCTGCCCCCACTTAAATAGCTCCCTGTGCACTGCACCTTGGTCAGTTTGTTCATCCTCTCAGCAGACAACACTCTACCCAAAACAGGTTGCAAGATACTTGACTGTGAGCCAATTGCAGGAGCCAAGGCTCCTCAGCCGCTGGGTACCCACACGAGTCTCACCATCTGTCGCAACCACCTACTTCTGTCAGATTTGAAGTATTTAATCTGAGGGGTGTGACCACCTCCTGAAGCAAAGCATCCAGGTAAATTAACAAGAAAGTACGGGAAGCTGTTGCTGAAAATATACTGATGCTAATTTTATTGGTAGTTAAACCAGGTGATAGCATGCCCAATCTATTCAAAAATAACAAAGGTCTGGTCAACCAAGTTTTAAAAAATGTAAACAGGTTAAATTTGCCAGTGACTGCATTTGACACATTTCGTCCTGCGTATCAAATCGCATGTCCATTAATAAAAATCAAGGAGCTAATAATCAAGTACCCTCCCTATCCACAAGGGTTCTGTTCCTGAGAACTTCCATAAATGATGAAATCTGCAAGTGCGGAGCTCATTAAAAATAGGTTAAAGATCACCTATGCAAATTTGCCTGCAGATATTGAATTTTATTGCTACTTATTTTTTGGCGCTGATAGGTGACTTCACGATGTGTGATTTCACAGATACAGAAGATTTATTGTACCATAATTTTTTAAAATTCATTTGTGGGATGAGGGCATCACCAACTAGGCCAGCATTTATTGCCCAGAGGGCTGTAAAGAGTCAGCCATGTTGCTGTGGGTCTGGAGTCACATATAGGCCTGACCAGGTAAGGATGGCAGATTAATCTTCCCAAAAGGGCAGTGAACCAGATGGCTTTTTCTCCCAACAATTGACAATGGATCCAGGATCATTATTGGACTCTTAATTCCAGATTTTTTCTTGAATTCAAATTCCACTACCTGCCATGACACGATTCAAACCCAGGTTCACAAAACATTATCTGGGTCTCTAGATTAAGAATCCAGTGATAATGCCACTAGGCCATCACCTTCCCTGTAATTCAGACATTGAGTCAGGGAATCGAAGTATTTTTTTTTAAAAAGCTTCATTCATTCATGGGATATGGACATCACTAGCTGGACACAATTTACTGCCCACGCCTTGAAAGTGGTAACCTGCCTCCTGCATACCCACAATTGCATTTGGGACTAAGTGCCAGGATTTTGAGGTCAGCTCATCAAAACAGTGTTTTATACACTTCTATTAGATTATTCATCGAAAAGAAAGTCTGACATAATAGATTTTCTGTGGCATGATACATCAGTTACACAATTTGAATGGGATTAAGATTCAGTGTCAGATGTATAGCATGGAAACAGGCCCTTGGGTCCAACTCATCCATGCCAACCAGATATCCTGGATAAATCTAATCCTATTTGCCAGCATCTGGCCCTATCCCTCTAAACCCTTCCTATTCATCTACCAATCCAGATGCCTTTTAAATGTTCTAATTGTACCAGTCTCCACCACTTCCTCTGACAGCTCATTCCATACACACACCACCCTGTGTGACAGCTACCCCTTATGTCTATTTTAAATCTTTCCCCTCTCACCTTAAACCTACACCCTCTAGTTTTGGACAACCCACTCCAGGGAAACGACACTGTATTTTATAAGCCTCTATAAAGATCATCCCTCAGCCTCTGATACTCCAGGCAAAATTGCCCCAGCCTATTCAGTTTCTCCCTATAGCTTAAACCCTCCAACCCTGGCAACATCTTTGTAAGTCTTTTTTGAACTCTTTCAAGCTTCACAATATCCTTCCTCTAGCAGGGTGACCAGAATTGCATGCAGTATTCCAACAGAGGTCTAACCAATGTGTTATACAGCCACAACATTACCTCCAAACTCCTATACTTAACGCACTGACCAATAAAAAGGAAACATACCAAATGCCTTCTTCGCTATCCTATTACCTGCAAATCCACTTTCAAGGAACTATGAAATTGCACTCCAACATCTGTTCAGCAACACTCCCCAGGACCTTATGATTAAGTGTATAAGTCCTGCCCTGATTTGCCTTTCCACAATGTAGCACCTCACATTTATCTCATGCATTGTGCGCTAAAAGGTGCTGATATACATTAGAGTTTACTCAATATCTTAAGACAGTTTTGTTCTTCAGTAACCAAAATGTATTTAAAAGATGTACTGAACTTTCCCATAGAGTAAAGTAATACCTTCACTTTCATAGGATCATAAGCTATCAAGTCTGGACCACCAAAAACAAAAACTACACTAGCCCCGCTCTCCAGCACTAAGCCTAGAGTCTTGAATGTTTCAGTACTTTTTGAAAAGGTTGAGGAGTTACCTACCGTAACTACCCTCCCAGACACTGCATCCTTGGCACCACCACCTTCCAGGTGAAAACATTTTTCCTCCAAACCCTCCCTAAACAACCTGCCTTTCACCTTAAAAATGTGCCTTTTTGTTAATGTCCTTTCAACTGAGGGGATCAGTTGCTTTCTATCCACCCTGTTCAATGACCAATCCTCAGCAACCTTATTGGAGAATCTCTTCACCCCTTCCAGTGCAACTGCATCCTTCCTATACTGCAGCTTTCAGATCTGCATTCAGTACTCCCACCGTGGCCAAACTAAAGTCCTGTATGACTCCATCATGACATACATAAGAGCCGGGAAGTTATGACTGATGAAGCCAAGTGTTCTATATGCCTTAACCACCCCATTAATGCCTGCCTTCTTCAGGATTCTGTGGACAAGAACCCCCAAGATCTCTCTTTCCGAGTCATAGTTTCTGGGGTCTTGCCATTCATGGTGTACTTCCCTCAGGATAGATATTCAACTATTCTTAGTATAAATCTCTTTCATCGACATTTGCAATTTTCAGATTGCAGGACTTGACAGGTTTTCCAAATTACTACATTAAGTATTTTCAGTTGTACCATTTACAATTCAATTTGCAGACACTCTAAATAAAACTGACCATTACTCAAGTTACTGGCATGCGCAGAACTTGTAATGAAAACTATACTTAAAACTAAGAGATTGTTCAAGTTTAAAAACAGCCTTCAAATAAACTGACATAGAAGATACAAGTGCTACTTTCCAGGTACTAGAGATGAGCTGTTTCATATCACCGACTTCCCCCCACTGTAAAAAAACAAGCAGTCTGCCACAGATTAACATTCTAAATTGTTTAATTAACATTGAACGAGAGGGTCTATTGACACTGCTATATCACAAGACAGAACAGCTGTTGTGGATCCAATGGCACATTTCTCAACAGAACTAAATTTATTACAGAGCACTAATCTTGCCACAAGATTAAATTGCATCTAAGAACCTGTTCTTCCATGCATGCAGTAGAAATACTTCAAATGAAGCAAAAGACATCAATTCACCATCATGTATAACTAATTCTTGTGCTATTGGTAATAGGTGCACCATAGATAGCGTAGCAATGAATACTGGTTCTTAAGGTAACAAGAACTTAAACTACAGTGGGCTAATTCACAAATTATAATTAAGTGACTTTGTTAACTGATGTTCTATTAACAGGTTTAAGTACTTGAGGAAAAAAAAAAATCATTCCAACAAAAGTCTCTTCCTTACATCTTCATTCCAGTCTTCAGTAACCCAGTCCTCCATGGAATTCTGCCAAGCACCTAACAAATAACAGGAAGGTGGGGAGGGGGTGGGAATATGATCTGAGAAATCAATTTTATAAATCTTTAAAAAATTTGAAAAGCACTAATATTTTCAGCAGGCATTATCCTACCTGTTCCATTATTTTGAGTTGACTCCCAAATTTCAGATGTTGTCCCAAAACCATTATTTGTTGCAGAATCTGCATAGTCTACGGGGTTGAAGGTTCTGTAAATGAAATATACCAAGTGAATGCAAAAGGGTATTTACAGAATGATGCAAAATGACATACTTTTAAATTGAAAAATTCAGATAATCGCTATTTAATCCTGTCAAGAAATCCATATTGCTACAATGCATTTAGAGTCATACAGCACGGAAACAGATCCTTCAGTCCAACTTGTCCACACCAGATATCCTAAACTGACCTCGCCCCATTTGCCAGCATCTGGCTCATATCCTTCTAAACCCTTCCTATTCATGTACCCATCCACATGCCTTTTAAATGTTCCAATTACACCCATTTCCACCACATCCTCTGGCAGTTTGTTCCATACACTGCCAGAAGTGGTGGTGCAGGCAGGTATAATTCTGAGAATGCTGAAAAATTCAGCATCCCTTCAAGGGGGCCAGTTGAGATCAAACCTCTCTATTACTGTCAGAATAATAATGCACTCCAGTAAAAAAGTCTCACTCCACCAATTCAAGTAGTCTGTCCTTTTCCAGTTATCTGCACTACAATACATCTAATTGTTGCTCTTAAATCTAAATAGCACAGGTTTCAATTGTGGACGTATTAAACAATGATGAATTACACTGGATTACATCACCAAATTTGCAAGACCATCTAGAGCATGGCAGCGTTTTTAATTCAAGCAACCTATAGAGTAAACAATTACAAAAAATACTTACTTACCCCATGCCTTGTGCTGAAAATCTTCCTGCTCCCCTACCTCTGTTACGTCCACTAAATCCTACAAATTTAAAAGCAGAACAATCGACATCATAATAAGCTGCACAGCCCCAGATTTTCACAGGCTGCAATCTAACACTCATAAGGATTGCACCTTTGGTGTACTTCAAGTGTTGAACAAAGGCAAATATGTAATGTTAAGAGCAAGCAACCTCTTGTTTGGGATTGTAAGGGAGGGAGGAGTTTGGTGTCAAGATCTCGAACATAACACAACAGCTGGATCACCAACATACTTTTGTAATCGAGCAGAATCTGACCTCAGGGGCTGCAGGACTTTTCTCAGACACTGCCGCCAAAAAAAGATGCAAAAATCACAGGTAAGTCCATCCCCTGGCCCCATCTGTTATATCAATGACAAGGAGGGTTGACAAGTTTTCTTATCAAGATAGAGATTTCACAAGAGAGAAGGAGCAAGTTTTGGCAGCGAGCAGACTCGTAGAGTCAAGGAGAATAGGAATTTCAGCCCTCATTTTTAGTTTTAACTCCAAACACAGTAGTCTATTTTCTAACAGTCACATTCACTTCATTGATGACATCAGTTCTAGGTCATCAGGTTAGAAATGGGAAATATTGATTGGAATGTAAATTACAAACATTCCATAACGAGAGCTTGAAAAACAAGTTACATTCTTGGAAGTCATCTTGTTACAAACGCAAAACAATAGATGAACTACAGCCAAATCAGAACGATGATCTGGAACAACCAAGGAGACAGATTTTTGCAGTTTTTATTTCGGGATTTTCCCAAACTAAATCAACACCAGAATCCAAAATGGTACTGTATGGATAACAAAACATTATTATTTTATCCCAGGTTATAAGCAGTAAATGATCACTGAAACTTTATACCTTGGTAGAAGGAGCTGCCTTTTACAGACCGCACTGTAAAATTCCTAGTGAGGGGGAACCAACGGCATAGTATTATTATTGGACTGTTAATCCAGGACCCAAGAAATGTTCTGGGGACCCAGGTTCAAATCCTGCTTAGGCAGTGGAATCTGAATTCAATAAAAATCTTCAATTAAGAGTCGACTGATGACCGTGAATCCATTATCAATTGTTGGAAAAACCCATCCAGTTCACTAATGTCCTTGAGAAAAGTAAATCTGCTGCCCTTATCTGGTCTGGCCTACACGTGACTCCAATCCTACAGCAAGTGGTTGACTCCTAACAGTCCTCTAGGCAATTAGGACTGCAAAATAAATGCTTGCCTCATCTCATGATGAACTTTAAAAAAAAAATCAAGGATCAGTCATTCACCTGTCTGACCCAACTGCAGTCCACTCCGCAGTCTCCAGATCAACTCTTGACTAAGGCAAAAACAAAAACTAAATTACTTGAACACAGAAGTAAAGGCAGAAGTCAGTCCAACTAAGCAACTGGTGTTGAGTTAATTTAGAAACGCCAACATTCAGGATACAATTTTTTACTAACCAACAGCTAGCTTGTGTTGCAGAGTGATGCCACCAGCTTGCTACACTGGCTGAGGTTCCCACTAAGGTCTCTCCTTCTCAACCTCTCCCCTCACCCGAGGTGTGGTGACCCTTAGGTTAAAACATCACCATGGTCATCTCTCTCTCTCTCGAGCAGCCCTACGGTCTGTTAGGACACAGACCAAAGTAAAGTTGCCATTCAGGGCAATAAATTTAAATACACAGAAATTCAGCTGGTCTGGCAGCATCTGCAGTGAGAAAACAGTTAATGTTTTGAGTGCAGTGACCCTTCTTCACAACTGATAGCAGTTATGTAAAGGTGGTATTTATGCTGATGGCCAGGGGAAGGAAGAGGTGGAGAGGAGGAAGAGAAGTGAGTGAATAGGTCGATAGGGAGCCCAAAGAGAGAAAAAAAAATTAAACAAAAAGGGATGAGATAAAAGTGGAACACTGCAGCAGGCCTGAGACAGAAATGCTGGCCAGAGAACACCGCACTGTGTTGAAGTGGCAGGCAACTTGAAGCCGAGGGTCATCTTTACAGGTACAGAAGAAAGTGGTCACCCCACCTGCATTTCATCTTCCCAATGTAGAAGAGACTGTATTGTGACCAACAAATACATGTAGACTAAACTGAGTAAACTACAGGTAAATCACTGCTTCACCTGGAAGGAGTCTGGGACCTTGAATAGTGAGAAGGGAGGAAACAGACAGGTGTTGCAACCTCTACAACTGCACAAGGAGGTGCTGAGAATGGAGAAGCAGAGACTTGGGTGCCCCAGAGGGAACATTCCCTGCAGAATGCTGACAGGGAGGGTGCCTGGTGGTGGCCTCCTGCTGGATGTAGTGGCTTACGATCCTTTGAATGCAGAGGTTTGAGGGATGCAACGTGAGGACTAAGGACCCCATCATTATCGTGGAAGAGAAAAGGGATTAAGGCAGTTATGTGGGGAAACTGATCAGACACAGTTAAGGGCCACGGTGGCAGGGAGTTCTCAGTTGAGGATAAAAGGTGGATATTTGAAGATCCCTGCGGAAGGTGGCATCAGAACACATACAGTGATGAAAAAAATGGAAAAATGGAATGCAGTCTTTCAAAGTAGCAGTGGGATATGTGGATGTGGAGGTCAGTACACCAGACAACAGTAGTATGCCCGTCAGCAGGTTTCATTACAAAGTCAGGGCTGGATTTGGCAACCCAGACTGCAGTCAGTTCAGAGGGAGATAGTTCAGAACAGGTAGGAGCACAGATTAAAGTGAATGATGTCACATCAGCAGTTCTCAATGAACAAGTTGAATGTGGGTAAAACATCAGATGGAGGAGTTCAGGTGGAGTGAGTATCTTGGGAACCTTGAAATCTCCATTTCAGAAACACTTCAGAAAACTAACTGTGCAACCTTCAAGTGAAAACTGAATGCACTCAAGATGATGTGCTCATCTCAGAGAGAACACAATGAACATATATTGATCATCCTGGTGATAAAATTTCACAAGTGTATTTAGAAGTACTTCAATTATTCTTAAAATTAAGTATGCTGCATATGTTGCATTAGGCAAGGAGCTTTGGAAATGGTGCAGGTGAAGGGAATATTCCCAATTTGAAGCAGCTAAAATAGTTTCAAACAGCTACTCTATTTGACGGAAGCACATGATAAGTAACTGAATCTCAAATCTAAACAGTCATGAAAAACTGTTTTTGTATAAAATGAACAGGTTAAAGCAGTAACAATTACAACCTCAAATCATACAAGGTTATCACAATGTATTACACCAGGAAATATTTTTCAACCTTAGAACAATGGTAAAACAGGCTACCATCATATGCAGCGTTCTTTCAGAGAGAAAATACACAGAAAAAAGGTAGGAACTACAACAGAGATAGTAGGAACTGCAGATGCTGGAGAATCTGAGATTACAAGGTGTAGAGCTGGATGAACACAGCAGGCCAAGCAGCATCAGAGAACCAGGAAGGCTGACGTTTCGGGCCTAGACCCTTCATCAGAAGGGAGGGAGGGGGAAGGGGGTTCTGAAGTAAATAGGGAGAGAGGGGGAGGCGGATAGAAGATGGATAGAGGAGAAGATAGGTGGAGAGGAGACAGACAGGTCAAAGGGGCGGGGATGGAGCCAGTAAAGGTGAGTGTAGGTGGGGAGGTAGGGAGGGGATAGGTCAGTCCAGGGAGGACGGACAGGTCAAGGGGGTGGATGAGATTAGCAGGTAGGAAATGGGGGTGCGGCTTGAGGTGGGAGGAGGGGATAGGTCCTCACGTACCACCCCACCAAACTCCGGATCCAACGCATCATCCTCCGACACTTCCGCCATCTGCAATCCGACCCCACCACCAAAGACATTTTTCCCTCCCCACCTTTATCTGCTTTCCGGAGGGACCACTCTCTCCGTGACTCCCTTGTCCGCTCCACACTCCCCTCCAGCCCCACCACACTCGGCACTTTTCCCTGCAACCGCAGGAAGTGCTACACCTGCCCCCATACCTCCTCCCTCACCCCCATCCCAGGCCCCAAGAAGACTTTCCACATCAAGCAGATGTTCACCTGCACATCTGCTAACGTGGTATACTGCATCCGCTGTACCCGTTGTGGCCTCCTCTACATCGGGGAAACCAAGCGGAGGCTTGGGGACCGCTTTGCCGAACACCTGCGCTCGGTTCGCAATAAACAACTGCACATCCTAGTCACGACCCATTTTAACTCCCCCTCCCATTCCTCAGATGACATGTCCATCCTGGGCTTCCTGCAGTGCCACAACGATGCCACCCGAAGGTTGCAGGAACAGCAACTCATATTCCACTTGGGAACCCTGCAGCCCAATGGTATCAATGTGGATTTCAAAATCTCCCTTCCCCCTACCGCATCCCAAAACCAGCCCAGCTCGTCCCCGCCTCCCTAACCTGTTCTTCCTCCCACCTATCCCTTCCTCCCACCTCAAGCCACACCCCCATTTCCAACCTTTTAACCTCATCCCACCCCCTTGACCTGGCCATCCTCCCTGGACTGACCTATCCCCTCCCTACCTCCTCACCTACACTCACCTTTACTGGCTCCATCCCCGCCTCTTTGACCTGTCTGTCTCCTCTCCACCTATCTTCTCCTCTATCCATCTTCTATCCGCCTCCCCCTCTCTCCCTATTTATTTCAGAACCCCCTTCCCCCTCCCTCCCTTCTGATGAAGGGTCTAGGCCCGAAACGTCAGCCTTCCTGCTTCTCTGATGCTGCTTGGCCTGCTGTGTTCATCCAGCTCTACACCTTGTAATCTCAGGAACTACAACATGCATTCAGGGTCAGAGTCTGTCCTAGCCTTCAAATCACCTTTCATTTCACCTCATTTCCATATACAGTTTCTTGTATGGACAATTCATTTTGGGTACACACTGCACATTTCTTAAAAAAAGATACATCAGAAAAAAGTTACTTCAGCACGAAAGACAGAGTTACAATTTTTACTGTAATTAGAATAATCAATAAACCCATTGAGTACTTATTGTCCTTCATACATCAGCTCCTGTTAAGGATCTTATGGAGAAGGAAAGATACACAAGTTCAGGAGCTGATCTGTCTTGCATTTTTTTTTTCATTTCATTCATGGATTGTGGGCATGCTGGTTATTTATTGCCTTTATTGCCCATCCCTAACTGCTTAGACTTATGAGTCAACCACATTGCTGTGGGTCTGGAGTCACATGTAGGCCAGACCTTATAAAGACAGCAGTTTCCTTCCTTAAAAAAGGACATTAGTGAACCACTTGGATTTTTCTGACAATCAGCAACTGCTTCATGGTCATTCGACTCTTAATTATATATTTTTAATGATTTCAAACTGCACCATCTGCCATCGTGGGAACCAAACCTAGGTCCCAACACTTTTCCTGAACACATCCAAAATAATACTGCAAGAAACGATTCCAATTGTTCATGACACTACCTTAAATATCAGATTTCATTAAGGTCAGCTCATCAAATATCCTCTGTCTGGAATCTCTGCACTCTTCAAGACCTTGATTTCCCCAACACAACCATATCAGACAAGGCTTGAAAACAAGATAGCATGGTCATCTACTGCCTTTTAAAACAATGTCTATGATTTTCAGTTCTACTCAAGAGGAATTTAACTTTCCAAATTAGTATATGCATGCAGGTTCGTTGGCTACCACATCCACCTTTCACCTAGGTACTTGTTGGTGAACTTTTTTTAACGTCCACATCATTACCTACGTAGGAATAATATTGTGTTTCCCCCAAAAGCTAATAACTGGTTTGTGGTCTAAAGCTGAAAGGCAATGGAAAATTATTATACCATTTTATGATCTTCTGCAGAGTTCTCACAGTTTACTTTATCATGCCTGGTCAGACCCACAAAACCATTACGCCCTAAGACACTGATGCAGAAACAGTCCATTCAGCCCATCAAGTCTGCTCTGCCATTCAATTAGATCAGAGTTGATCTGATAATCCTCAACACCACTTTCCTACCTTTTCCCCATAACTCTATTTCCTCACTAATTAAAAAACATTATCTCAACCTTGCAAATACTATGGGCACAACCTTGACAGCTCTTTGTAATAATGAATTCCACAAATTGATGACCCATACAAGAAATTCTTCCTCAGAATCTTAAATAGGGATTTCCTTATTGAGATTATGCCCTCTCATCTTAAATCCTTCCACAAAGGCAAACAAACTTTGCGTTTCTACACTATCAAGTCCTGTAAGAATCGACTATGTTTCAATCACATTCTCCCCGTGTCTGCGTGGGTTACCTCTGGGTGTTCCAGTTTCCTCCCACAGTCCAAAAATGTGCAGGTTAGGTGGACTGGCCATGGTAAATTGCCCAGGTTCAGGGATATGCAGATTATGGGGAACGGGTCTAGGTGGAACGCTGAGGGTTGGTATGGACTCGTTGGGCTGAAGGGCCTGCTTCCACGCTGTAAGGATTCTATGATCATGAATAAGGTCTGATCGCATTCTTCTAAACTCCATATAGATGCAATCTAATCAATCCACCAAGAAAATCCATCTGTATCTGCGATCAGCCTTACGAATCTTCTCTGGAAGGTTTCTTTAGATCAGGGTTCAAAACTCTTCATGGTATTCCAGTTCAGGTCTGACTAATGCCTTGTATAATTTTAGCATGACTTCCATATGTCCACACTCCATTCCCTTTTCTTCAAAGGGCAACATTCCATCTGCCTTCCCTAACACCTGAATTTGGATGCTAGCTTTCTGCAATTCACGAACAAGGACTCTCAAATCCCTCTGTTCTCTACCTTTCTGCAAGTCTTTCTCCATTTCATTTTACAGCTCCTCTATTCTTCCTGCCAAAATGCATAACTTCATATTTTCCCACATTATATTTTATCTGCCCAGTTTTGTCCACCCATTTAATTTGTCTATAGCCCTCTGTCGGCTGTCAGCCTCACCACTTGCCTTCGCTATTTATATCAACTGCAAACTACCATATCATTAGCCAACTTTAAGACTGTCAGATTATGAAGAAGTGACTATCATTTGCACAGAGGGTGAAAAGTAAAAATGTTGCCGGTAGGCTGCCCTGAAAAGATGAGGTTTCTAGGATTTGGGACAAAGAATGATTCTCATGATTCATGACAGTGCTTTCAAAATTCTTCAAAAACAGATTTGATTGCAAAAAATCAGCTCATTAAATATCCTTCCTTCCCGGTTTAGCCTAGTTACTGTTCAAGAGTCTACTTTCCCAACATAGCCATATCAGGCAAGGCTTTGGAGCCTGTTGTGAAAGAAACCACTGATCCAAAACATCAAGGTTTTCCAATTTTTCAACAAGCTTAAGTGGTTGCATAGTATTACAAGTTAAAGAGAAATCAAAGGTAGCATTAGCCTAGTCTATGCACTGTTTATCAAATGAACCAAAGTCAAAACAGCCTCATCCAGACTATAAACAGATTAAGATGATCAAAAGAATCAAAATGTCGCTGACACAAACTTCTCAAAACACTCCATAATTATCAAATGGTAGAGCAGTCAGTAATCACTCAGCTCAGAAGACAGAGATGGCTTCGTAACCAGGATAATTGAGGACATCCAACAGCAAGGAACATTATGCATGTCAAGTGATTTCTGAAAAAGCAGACAAAAAAAGGTGCTGAGGAGCACATTCCTTAAGAATTTTTTGAGAATACTCAAGACTTCCTTCCCTATTTAGCTCGATTTTCAAAATCTGATTGCCTCAAGACATCATGGTACTCGAGTAGGGAGTGAAAAATTATACCGTAACCATTGTACATGAACAGAGTAAACTTGGTCAACCAATTAATTTCCTGTTGGTCATTAATATTACATAAGATATTGAAATACAAGTGACAGTAGTGGTGGATAAACAGCAATACAGTTAAAAAAGATTTTGTTTGCTTTCTTCCTGTCTCACCTCTGCCACGGCCGCGCCTGCCCCGTTCTGCATGTTTATCACCTGGACTAACATCCACTCCATTTTCCTCAACTCTGTCTGCAAATTGAAACATGGAAGGTTCAGGAAATATGCACTTCAGCAGAAACAGCTGAACAATTGGCTCAGTATTACATACATATCTTAGGTGCTATACTTACAATCCCTGCCTCGACTTCCTCTCCCTCGTCTAGAAGAGACTGCACGACCCCGAGTTGTTTTATCTCCACGCTTCTCTCTGTTTTCTTTATTTTCTAGGAGGCCATCTTTTCCAGTTCCAAGATTCTTCTTTTTGCCTACAGTCTCCCATGAAGTCTGTACAATAACACCCAATCAGATCATTCCTCAGATTTAAACTAATTCCATAATTCCTCATCCGTAACAATTTACATCGAGTATAAAAAACAGGAATTGCATCTCAAGCCTGCCCTTCAACAAGATCAGAGCTGAACTCGTCATTCATGCCAGCTTGTCACAGCCACCAATTCAAATTTCTAAAATCTACCCCTCTAAATACTTAGTGATCTGGCCTCCCGAAGACACTGGAATACAGAATTCCAGCCATTCACTACCTTCTGGGAGAAGGAATTTCTTTGCATGGCAGTTTTGAACAGATGTCTCCTTATTCTGTACCTATCCCTTCTAATTTGAGATTCCCCCACTAGTGGAAACATCAACATTTAGCCCATCAAGCATCCCCACAAAATCTTGTATGGGTCCAAAATATGATTCCTGATTCTTCTGAGCTCTAATCAATGAAGGATTGACCTGTTGAGCTGTCCTTAATTTGTTAACACCTTCATCTCAAGAATCAGACTAGTGAGCCTCCAATGCAAACGCACGCTTTAAATACAGGGGCTAAAACTATACACAATACTACAGGAGTGGGCATGCCAGCAACCTATATTGTTACACTAAGGCTTCCATCTTTAAAACTACAACTTCCTAGTGATACAGGCTGAAATTCCATTTGCCAGACCTGCATGCTAATGTTGCGTTTCATGTACATGAACACTCCCTTTGCACTGCACTAATTTGAGTTTCTTTTCATGTAAATAGTCTGCCTTTCGCTTCTTCCCACCAAAGTGTATGACATCACTCTTTTCTACAACACTACTTCTATCACTTGCAAATGCCTCATGATCTAATCATACTTTTTTCTGTATCAACAACAAATTTGGATACATCACACTCCAAGTCATCAACAGGTAATGGAGACTCTGGAACTGATCCTTGTGGCACTCCATGAGTTACACCTTTCCAACATGATAAAGACCCATGAATCCCAACTCTACCTTTTACACGGAAGCAAATCCATGCCAACATATTACACAAATACAGATTCTATAACCTTTTATGGGGCACCTTATCAAATGCATTTTGGAAATCCATATGGCCTACATCTACCAGTTTCACTATCAACTCTGCTGGTTTTATCCTCAAAGAACTCTAGCAAAATTTGTCAATCATTGCCCTTTCACAAAACCATGTTGATTGCATGAAACTTTGCTAACTGCCCTGCAATTTCTTTCTTAATAGCCCCAACAGGAGATGTCAGGCTAAATGGCCTATAGTTTCTGGCTTTGTCTCCCTCCCTTCTCGTACAGGGGTGTCACAGTAACAATGTTCTAATTTACCGAAACCCTCTTGGAATCCATTTGGTCCTAGATTATTTCAACTAACGCCTCCACTATCTGTGCAACCACCTCTATTAAAAAAAAGAGCTGTTGGATTCAGGCCATCAGGTCCTGTATCCACAATTACTTAAGCCACTCTTTTAATACGCCCATAGGGGCTCTTGCTGTTTGTATTTGTATAGCTTACCAATTTACTTTCAATCAATTTCTACTTCTATTAGCTTTTTAGTCATCTGCTGCTGGTTCCCAGAAAAATCCCAATACCTTCATCTACATCTAGTTTTCACTGCTTCATATGCCTTATCTTTTAATTGGATACTATTTTGCCAACTTGGTTAACCACAGGATAACACCACCACCTGCAAGTTCCGCTCCAAGCCGCTCACTATCCTGACTTCGAAGTATATCACCGGTCCTTCACTGTCACTGGATCAAGATCCTGGAATTCTGTCCTAAAGGGTGTTGTCGGTCAACCCACCACATATGGACTACTGCGGTTCAAGACAGCAGCTCACCACCAACTTCTCAAGGGCAACAATGCTGACCAGCCAGCGACACCCACATCCCACAAAGGACTTTAAAAATGTCGACCTCAGTGTCCTCTTTGACCTGAATAAAATTTTTGCTCAGCATTATGAAGTAACTGCTGATACATATTCCACTGCTCATCCACCAGCCTTTTGTTTTACCAGACTAATTCTAAAGAGTTTAGACAACTTTCTTCTTACCTTTCATTGCCCTTATTTAAGTTGAAGATCCTGGTTTGATTTCCATCACTGAATTTGAAATTGTTGTGATCGCTACCTCCAAAAGGATCCTGAACTATGAGATCTATTGTTAATCCTACCTCATGTTACTTGATCTAGAATAGTTGATTCTCCAATATCCTAATCAAGGAAATTGAAAAAACACCTCAAAAAAAAAAAAAGCAGCTCTTACAGCCACGATTATCTCCCGTCCACCAATAACAATTAAAGGACATCTGGATGGGTACACGAATAGCAAGTTTTTAAGAATGCTGACTAACGGCCTAGGTTAATTTAGGGTATCTGGTTGGCATGGGTGAAGTGGACCAAAGGGTGTTTCCATGCTATGTAACTCTATGAATCTAGGAAACAATCCCGGACGCATTCTGTAAGCTCATCTTCCATGTTACCCTTGCCTGTCTGATTTATCCAGTCAATGTGTAGATTAAAATCACCTAAAAATTGCAACATCCTTCGTACAGCTTCCATTATTTCCCTGATTTTGTTTTACATCAAATCAACTGTTTGCTGATCTGTAAACTATTCCTACCTGTGACTTCCCTCCCTTATTTCCACCAAAATGATGCTACATGATCTACTTCACCTATAAATCAATACTCACCACTGCACTAATACCTTTCTTTGCTGAAGTTACCCCACCTCCTTTTGCTTTTTGCCTATTTTTCCAGAACATTGAATACCCTTAGAGTTACCAGTCTTGGTCACCCTGCAATTACATCTCCATTATAACGAAGAAATCATTAATTTTTCTATTTGTGCCATCAACCCATTTATCACATTACAAAATGCTATGCTGCTCGCATTCAGACCTTTCAAAAAAAAAAAAAGCCTTAAGCTTTAGACTTCTTAGCTATTACTTTGGCTATATTTTCTGTTACACTCTTCTGAATATATTTTCTACCCCTTCCTTTTACATTTATTTCGTTCGCCTCTTGATTATGTTCTCACACTGCTCTCATTTCCATTTCATTTGTAAACTTTCAATTGAAGCAGCCAGTATTGGAAGCAGTTGGAGAGGTTCAGTAGCCTGATTCCTGGGATCAAAAGGTTGACTTATCAAGAACTGCTGAACAGCTTAAGCCTTTATTCATTAGAGTTTAGAAGAATGAGGTGCAACCTTATTGAAATACAAGAGATTCTGAGGGTGCTTGACAGGGTACATGTTGAGATGTTGCCACTAATGGGGGATCCTCAAACTAAGGGGCATATTTACAGAATAAGGGACACTTGCTCCCTAATCAGAACTGTTGTCAAAGTGCAGACAGTTAAAACCTCAAATACTATCAAGATCCCAGATACAAAATAAACGTCAAATATGCTAACGAAGTTCAGTTTGTTTAATTATAATCAGACACAATAGCTTCACTTAAGAGCGCAATCTAATTTCTATGGCATTCCACAATGCTGTAATTTTCGAGGATTCATACCCAAACTTAAGACTCCTACCCACCTCTATTTTAAGGAATAATTGGTTGAAATTCCCTAACTTATACACTCAAGATCTAAAGTCAGTTGTGAAGTGCAGGCAAACCAGGAGTAACTACAGTCTCTGTCTATTCCCAAATGGTTACAGATCGGGTGCCTCATTAAATATTTTGTAAGCAGTGCTCATACCTGCTGATAAAATAACCAATTTATGTCTAGGTGTTGTCAAGAGAGCAAAAATCGAGCAAAATGGTGTATACTAGGAATCAAACCTTATTATCTAAACTGGGTGTTGGTGCCTGCACATTTACCGTGCTCCAAACATTTGAGGTAAACAAACAAAAACACTCAAGGTCACTTAAGATCAAATACAAGTTAGTAATTGCTCAAAATTCACTTGTTGAGAGAGTATTTCCAAGTTACGTGCAAGCTCACTGCAGTGGTTCAAGGCAGCTCACTACCAACTTTTCAAGGGCAACTAGAGATTGACAATAAATGTTGACCAGACAGGGATGCCTACATCTCGAGTGGATAAAACAAAACCCATCAGTAGCAATCTTACAATAGAAAGATAATGAATGCTACTTGGCAACCTACATAGCCGACTTACTCATTTAAACAAAGACCTCAAATCAGGACCCATTCCAGACTGTCTCCAAGTGTTTCTGCTACAACGCTTGTTTCATTAGCGCGAATTGACTGTAACCTGATTGATGAATAGTAGATGCTGTTCGGATAATGCAAACGTTCTACTGTACAGGTTTAGCGATTTTCTACAGCAATTTCCCTACAATGCTACTTTCAATAGCATGAGGTTGCACAAGAACACAACTATCGTGTTACATGATAAATACCTGTATTTCATTCCATATTCAAAATGAGAGTTAGGCATTGTATGCTAGAAAACCTTTGATTAAAATGTTCCCAGGACCTGTCAACACTTTTCTATCAATCACATAGAAATGCTTACAATCTGACAACTTGCAGTCTTCAATGAAATCATTTTAATGTACGCTCAACAGGATGTTCAGTTTTAAGTTTGTTTTTTAAAGTTAATAGTTTTGAAAAGTGGATTCAGATACACCTTTTTCAAACTGTGCAAATACAAAAAAAAACTACTCTCCCTGTCAGGGAGTAGTCTAGCATCATAAGAAATGAACAACAAAACGTCGTTATTCCTACCGTATCCGAATTTCCTTCTAGCAGTACGTTGATTGCTTTGTTCACATCACCATTGCAGTCATGAAGTGCAACTATGCTTTCATCTGGGTTCTTTCCAGTGACTTCCATCAACTAAAAAGAATTTAGAAGAATGTATTATTCTATTAATTATAAATATTTAATCTAAATTACAATAATTGTAGAACATTTACACAATGCATTCAACAATTTTATTCAAAAACTGAGATTGAAAAATACAAAGCAATTAATGCAGAGCTTTCACAAAAGAGACCTGTTCTCAAATTCCTCAACCACATGAGCCTAAGCTTTCATACATTCAGATTCAAATGTCCTGAACATACCAAAAATAAATCTCAAACTCAACTCATACTGTTAAAAACTACACATTAAGAAAAACTTCGTCAAGTGACTTAGCCACTTGATATATTTGTTGATGATGATTGCAAGGGAGAAATCTATTTAAGAAACTGCATTACATGTTGACTCTTACCTGCTTCACTTTCTCTTCGAAATCTACATCAGTCTTATCACAGATCATTTGGGCAAGTCGAATTTGTTCTGCTGTAGCCTAAAACATCAATAGTTCAGAATATGCTTAGTTTCAAGGAACTACTTTGTATTTAATAAAAAGAATTAGTTAAACCTCCAAGAATCATTCTAAACATGCATTGTTCATTAACTGGAAGACAAATAAAATAGCCAATATACTCCTGTACCCCCTTCTCCTATATTAAAAGGACAATTGTTCAAACAAATCAGGCAAAAATCCATGGATCATTACAGTATAATACATTTTTTTAAACTCCATTTGCCTGCCTGCCAGCCTAGGTGTGCACTGAAAAGCAATTCAGCCTCTTACCTGTACTGGTTTCTGTATCTGTGCACACGTCTGAGCCTGTATCTTGTCCCGAGTGCCACGAGATCGGTCATTGCCCACTGAAGACATCATATACAGTATATACAAAACAATGTACAAAATAGAAAATCTGTAAAAGGAACATTAAGTTTTACAATTCATGCATGTATTTCACAGTTTAAAAAAAATCTAAGCTCCAGTAGGAGTCAATATTTGACCACAGTCAATGGATGGAATGGCCTCTGAGCACTAATCAAACAATTCTAGGAAAAAAATTCCAGGTGGCTTCGGGATAATTGGATGGAAGGGTAAATGGCAAAAGGGGACAGGATGAAACATCAGCCACCAGCATAGTCAATAATGCAACACTGATGGAAAAAAATATTAACCCAAATTATTTTGCTGGAGCAGCGCTTTGGGGCTGATACACAGAACCTAACACCCGATATCAGCAATGAACCAGAATGCTTCCCAGTATTTAAGAGTCAGAGTAATACAGCATGAAAACAGACACTTCAGTCTAACGCATTCATGCTGACTAGGTGTCCTCACCTGACCTAGTCCCATTTGCCTGCGTTTGGCCTATATCCCTCTAAACCTTTCCGATTAGAGTCACAAAGTCAGAGGTGTACAGCACAGGAGTAAGGAAACAGATCCTTTGGTCCAACTCGTCCATGCCAACCAGATATCCTGAATAAATCTAGTCCTCTTCGCCAGCATTTGGCCCATATCCCTCTAAACCCTTCCTATCATATACCCATCCGGATGCCTTTTAAATGTTTTAATTGTACCAGCCTCCACCACTTCTTCTGGCAGCTCATTCCATACACGCATCACCCTCCGCATAAAAGGGTGGTTTGCCTTATAAGGATTGTACTGTAAACCTCCCCAATAGTCAGCAGGAAATTTGCAAGATTTCACTTATCTAGAAGAATAACAAGGTTGTAATGGTAGGGGATTTTAAACTTCCCAAATATAAACTGGGACTGCCATAGTGTTAATGGCTTAAACAGAGAGCAATTTATTAGGTGAGTACAAGAAAATTTTCTGATTCAGTACGTGGATGAGTTCACTGAAGGCGGCGCAAAACTTGACCTACTCTGGGGGGAAAAGGCAGGACAGTGACAGAGATGTCAGTGGGTGAGCACTTTGGGGCCAGTGATCTAAAATGGTTATGGAAAAGGATAGACCTGATCTAAAGGTTGAAGATCTAAATTGGAGGAAGGCCAATTTTGACAGTATTAGGCAAGAACTTTCAAAAGTCGATTGGGAGCGGATATTCATAGGTAAAGGTAAGTGGGAAGCCTTCAAAAATGAGATGAGGCTCCAGAGATAGCATGTTCCTGTTAGGGTGAAGGGCAAGGCTGGTAGGTGCAGGGAATGTTGGATGACTAGAGAAATTGAGGCTCTGGTCAAGGAAAAGAAGGAAGCACATGTAAAGGTATAGACAGCAGGGACCAAGCGAATCCCTAGAAAGGTATAAAGGCAGTAGGAGTATACTCAAGGAGGAAATCGGGAGGACAAAACAGGGACATGAGATAGCTTTAGCCGTTAGGGTTCAGGAGAATCCAAAGGGATTCGACAAATACATTTAGGACAAAAGACTAACTAGGAAGAAAATAGGGCTCCAGAAAGATCAGCAAGGCTGTCGAACAACAGGAGATGAGTGAGATACTAAACAGGATATGGAAGCCAGAGAGCTTGGAGAAATAAACAATGATATCTTGAAAAGTGCCCATATTACAGAGGGGGTCGTGCTGGATGCCTTAAAACTCAAAGATAGTGGAAATCCCCAGGGAAAAAAAGGCCTTAACTATTCACCCTATCCATGCCCAAAATGCAACAGCTCACATTCATCTCAATAAATCACCACCTGCCACTCCTCCACCCATCTGTTTAAGGTTCCATCACACGCCTGAATTGCGCCTTGGAGATGAAGAGGAGACAAGTCATAATTCCCTAAAGACCATCTGGAGGACCTCATTTCTCCAAACGTTAATCCAAACATGGAGCATGACCTCTGGCCGTTCATCCATCTTCCCCGCCCCTCGAATCAGAATGACTTGCAGCCATCTTGTGGCATCTGAGCCTGAACCCAGCAAAGAACAACCCATTCTGCATTCGCATCTAAGGCTGCAAAAGCTTCTGTCTATTTCCCTCATTGACAGATCCTGACTATGGCACTTTCTACCTCCCCCTCCTTCCCAGCAGTTGGCCAAAACTCAGTTTGGATAGAAATGCCCTTGGAGGATTAATGCCCTCACTACCTGCCCAGTGGTCATGGCTGCACTTCTTTAGGTTGATAGGTGACCACTTCATGGAACATGCTATCCACAAATCTCAGCCTAGTGAATGCACTGTCGTGCCCTCAGCTGCCACTTAAACCTTAACCTGCTGAAGCTCCCCACCAAGAATTTTGTATGCATCAATAAAAATCACCTCTCATTCTTCCAAACTCCAATGGACACTGGCCCAGCTTGTCCAATTTCTACCCCAATTGTCAGGTGAACGAACACTCCAACCTGCAAATGCATTTAAATCCTCTCAAATAAAGGAAATCAAAACAATATATAACTGGTCACATAAGACTGTAAGAAACAGGAAAGGAGGCCACTCAGCCCCTCAAGCCTGGTATGCAATTCAATAGGATCCATGGCTGATCTACATTCTTTACGTCCGCTTTCCTGCTCTTTCCCGTAACCATTGATTTCCCTACTGATCAAGAATCTATTTATCACAGCCTTAAAAGACCAGTGAGCCTGACATCGGCAATGGACAAGTTGTTACAGGGAATCCTGAGGGACAGGATTTACATCTATTTCGAAATTCAAGGACTAATTAGAGAAATCATGTCTTGTTAACTTGATTGAGTTTTTTGAAGAAGTAACGATGCGAGGGCAGAGTTGTGTATGTGATCTACATGGATTTCAGTGAGGCATTTAACAAAGCTCCTCACAATAAACTGGTTAGCAAGGTTACATGACATACTATACAGGGAGAACTAGCCATCCGGATACAGAACTGGCTTGAAGGTAGAGGAAGAAGGATGCTGATGGAGAGTTGCTTTTCAGATTGGATGCCTGTGACAAGGATTGGTGCTGGGTCCATTCTTTTTCGTCATTTATAGAAATGATTTGAATGTGAACAAAGGAGGTATGGTTAATAGGTTTGCAGATGAGACCAAAATTGGAGGTATAGTGGACAATGAAGAAAGTTACCTCGGAGTACAACAGGACTTGATTAGATGGGCCAATGGGCCGAAGAGTAGCAAACAGTTTAATTTAGATAAATGTGACATGCTGCATTTCCGAAAGGTAAATCAGGGCAGGACTTATACACTTAATGGTAAGGTCCTGGGACTTGTTGCTAAACAAAGAGACCTTGGAGTGCAGGTTCATAGTTCCTTCAAAGTGGAGTCACAGGTAGACAGGATAGTGAAGGCATTTGGCATGCTTGCCTTTATTGGTCAGTGCATTGAGCATAGGAGTTGGGAGGTGATGTTGCAGCTGTACAGGATATTGGTTAGTCCACTATTGGAATACTGTGTGCAATTCTACTCTCCCTGCTAAAGGAAGGATATTGTGAAGCTTGAAATGGTTCAGAAAAGATTTGAGGGTGTTGCCAGGCTTGGAGAGTTTGAGCTGCAGGGAGAGGCTGAATAGGCTAGAGCTACTTTCCCTGGAGCGTCAGAGGCTGAGGGATGATCTTAGAGATTTATAAGGTCATGAGGTGCATGGAGAGGATAAATAGACAAGGTCTTTTCCCCAGGGTGGGAGGGCATCCAAAACTAGAGGGTATAAGGTTGAAGGCGAGAGGGGAAAAGGACCTAAGGGGGCCATGCTTTCTCACACAGGGTGGTGCATGTATGGAAATGCGCTGCCAGAGGAAGTGATGGAAGCTGGTACAATTACTACATTTAAAAAGCATCTGGATTGGTTTATGAATAGGAAGGATTTAAGAGGGATATGGGCCAAATGCTGGCAAATGCAGGGGAAGCAATTGCCTACTGTTATTAAATCGCTGGACTGTTAATCTGGGAACCCGGATTTAAAATCCGCCACGGCAGATGGTGGAATTTGAATTCAATACAATATCTGGAATTAAGAATCTAATGGTAACCATGAATCCATTGTCAAAAAAACCCATCTGGTTCACTAATGTCCTTCAGGGAAAGAAATTGCCACCCTTACCTGGTCTGGCCTACGTGACTCCAGACCCACAGCAATGTGGCTGACTCTGAACTGCCCTCTGGGCAATTAGGGATGGACAATAAATGCTGCCTAGCCAGCAATGTCCTCATCCAATTAATGAACAAAGAGAAAAAAGGGACTAGATTTAGAAGGGACTAGATTTAGGATATCTGGTCTGTTGGACCGAAGGGTCTGTTTCTGTACTCTTTGTGCTGCAGAGAGCTGCAAACACACACAACCATCGGAGATTGCTCAATCTTAATTTGGCACCATTTATTCTGACACTATGCCCTCTCTTTCTAGGGAAGCCCATGAGAGGAAACATCCTCTCAGTATTTACCCTGTCAAGCCTCTTAAGAATTCTATATGTTTCAATGAGACCACCATTCACTCTTCTCGACTCGAGTGCTTAATCTCTGCACCTAAGACAATACAAGCACTGAAACGTCTCTGAAAGGCCTCCAATTAAACAATACCTTTCCTAAACTAAGGGTTGCAAAACTGCTCACTGTACTCCAAATGTGCACTTAGTAGTACCTTGTACAAGTGCACTAAAACTTCTCCCGTGTTTCATTCAGAAGTAGCCCCGGCCAATACATCTGTCTTTCAGCTACCTGCAGTTTCTCTCCATTTAAATAATATTCTGCTCTTTTGTTCTCTTGCGAAATGAAGAACTTCCCATTTTCCCACATGATACTCCATTTGCCAACTTTGTGCCATTACTTCACCTATCGATCTCTCTGTAAACTTTATATCCCTCTCAATCTGCCTTTCCACCTATTCTAGCATCATTTGCAAATCCGGCGACAGTACTTTCACTTCTTTCCTCTAAGTCATTAATATATATTGTAATGAGTTGTTTTCTTCTTCTTTCATTCATTCATGGGATGGAGGGCGTCGCTGGCTAAGTCAGCATTTATTGCCCATCTCTAATTGCCCA